TATATATATATGCTTTTCCATCTTTCATTTTATGATTTCACATAAATATATACACGAGATTATCATAGGACCATTTACAAGCAGTTATAATTAGTATTACTCCCCAATATATGCCTAACATTATTCCTAAGAAATTAATAATAACTTGACAGATATTATTCCTATCAATCCAAAAATTAAGCTAATTACATGACAAATTTTACACTTAATTGATAGCGAATCAAAACTGATCAAATCTAACTAATTTCAAATATAATTAATTGATAACTTGATTGTTAATTGATACCCCTCAAGTTTGATACATGGGATTATGAATGCTCAACTTGCTAAGGCAGTAATCAAATTGTGGTTTACCTAATGTTTTTGTAAAGATGTCTGCAAGCTGTGAACGAGTACAGACTTAGGTTGTTTTAATAGTTCCTTTGACCAACTCAACATGAACAAAATGACAATCTATTTCAATTTGTTTTGTTCTTTCGTGAAAGATGGAGTTCTTGGCAATATGCAAAGTGACTAGACTATCACAGTACAATTGCATAGGTTGAGACTGCATAATCCAAAGATTGGACAAAATACCTTTCAACCATTTTAGCTCACATGTTGTAGCTGCCATAGAATGATACTCTCCAACTGACAAGATCTGGATATAGTGTGTTGCTTCTTAGTTTCCCATGAAATGGGGGAGTTGCCCAAAAATACCAACCACCCTATTAAAAAATGCCTTGTCAATGGACAATTAACCCAATTTGAATCACACCATCCAGTGTCACGGCACAACAAAATCCCTTGACCAAGATTACCCTTTAAGTAATGAACAATTCGTAAGGCAGTTTCCTAATGATCCACTCTAGGTTGTTGCATTAATTGTGAGAGTATGAATATAATAATTAGATAACTTTGGTCTAGTGAAACAGAGGTAAATAAGTCAACCTACCAAGCATTTATATCGTTCAGGTTGGTCAAGCAAAGGACATTGGGCTAAGGCAAGCTTTTGATTCAGCTCCACAGGCACGTGAGCAGGTTTTGCACCTAGAAGCCCAGTCTTAGAAATGATGTCAAGAATATATTTGTGTTGGCAAACAAAGATGCCAGTAGCATTCCTAGCTACTTCGACACCTAAAAAATACTTCAAGATACCCAAGTCCTTCATATGAAAACATGTCCCCAAGTATTAATAGATATTATTTTGATTGAATAATATTTTTAGCAACTAAAACACGAAAAAATAATTAAGGAATATTCTATATAAAATAATAATTAAAAGTATTAATAGAAGATTAAACAAATTAAATACAAGAGCTATGATTACTCCCCAATATATATGCCTAATATTATTCCTAAGAAATAATAACTCGACAGATATTAATCCAAAAATTAAGCTAATTACATGATAGCTTTTACACTCAATTGATAGCAAATCAAAACTGACGTGACATAGTTCTTCTTGGCTTTAAAGGATGCGGTATTGTAGTGGTGCCAATAATAGGATGGTGATCACTCTTGCGACGCATAAGCTCTTACAGGATGGGAGAGTAATTGAGGGTCAAGTCAAATTCTTTCATGGTGAGGTGGCACGCGAAGGCAGTGGTCGTTGAGTAACTAACTTGACATCATAGTCTACATTGTGGATTGTGAGAAACATTCCTCGTTGAGAAAATTGGAGTTTGGATTAGGAGGTGAGGTGAAATATAATAAATATAACAATGGTAAAGTGAAATATAACAAATATAATATGTATTCTATTTATTACGTAGAATTTTTTTTAATTGATAGTAATGAATATTTTTTAAATGATAAAATATTAGGATGAAATAATAACAAAAAAAAATTATAGACTAAAAGTGAAAAAGTGATAAATTATAGGACAAAAATTATATTTAAACTATAAAAAAATATCTAATATTATAATATAAAATCTTAACTTAAAATATTAATTACAGTATTTAATTTGTTTAATCTTCTATCAATACTTTTAATTATTATTTTATATAAAATATTCCTTAATTATTTTTTTGTGTTTTAGTTGCTAAAAATATTATTCAATCAAAATAATATCTAAGGCATCTCTAATGGAAGCAACTCATTTGAGTTGCTTCATGCATTAAAAAATAAAAAAAGTGGTCTCTAGTATGTCATGTCAGCATTAAGCAACTCAAATACAAATTTATTTAAATGGTAAGAAACTTTAAGAAATTTAACTTTTAGAATTTCTTTTCTAATCATTTATGAACCAAATTTAAATTTTTTATTAAAAAGGATAATTGTACTAAAATGAAAGAAAATAAATTACGAGAAAAAATACACAATAAGTAGATATTAAAAATAAAATAGATATTAAAAATAAAATAAAGCAATAGTAAATACATAAACATTATACGAAATTAATTTTTATCATTATTATTTCTAGAACGTTCTCAAATATGTTCAATAAGATCTGCTTGAAATCTGGTAAGAAACGATTTACTTAAGGAAGCAACTCCCTCTCTTCTTTAAGCAACTCATGTTGCCACATCAGAGTCCTTCAATGACAATAAATCGGAACTTGAGTTGCTTCATGAGACAAGCAACTTTCATTAGAGTTGCTTTAAACTTGATAGATTGATAACCACTATATAATTATGGAGAATTTATATAGTAGTCTTAAGATAGATAGAGGAGTAGTCACCTAACTTACTCCAAGTAAAACTAGGATTAAACACTTAAGTGTAAGATTGATGATTATTTTAATTAAAAAATTATATTAATTTGAAGTATATAGTAATTAATCACACAAATTATTTTCTATAGAGTTGTTTAACTTATTTTTAGTTGTGGTAAGTTAATTAGACAAAACTTCAAAATATGAGTGCGTATATATTCTGTCATAGTTTAACCATTTCAAGGAAAAGAAATAATAAAAGGATACTAATTCAAAAACCACTTACAAAAAAGTTATAAATATTTATATCAAAAGCAATCATATTTTTAAAATTAATATCATATAAAGTTACATTTATCATAGTTAACCACTCACTAAAAGCAAATAATCAGTCAACTAATTAAAGGTTATAATATATAACCATTCAAAATCTCCTTATTAACATGATGATTTTAACATGTAACTTTATTTATAGCCATTAGCCTCTCAAACAACTTCCCAAGAGAAGTAATTCGGAATTCTTAAAGTTATTATATTTATATTTATATTTATATTTATATATATATATATATATATATAACTATATACA